CTCTAGATGATTGTTATTTTTTACAAATTTGATCACTCTCCCAGAAGTACTAGGGAGACAAAGTTTTCATGGGGGGTGGTATAAGGAGAAAATATGGAAAATATGGAGAAGTTCAGTCAAAATGTTAGTTGCTTATTATGATTAATCATACTTTCAGTTTTTGGTATGATCACTACTTACTCATACCTGTCAAGGACATTGCTGTACTCTCTTGATCACAATATGCTGCGGCAAAAAAAAAAAAAAGTACCAGATTTTCACAATGGTGTATGTCATGGTTCCAATAATTACCAGGAGCTACCTAAGGTATGACCTTGGCTAAGTTCTTAACCTCGTGAACCTCTCATTTACTTTCTGTAAAATGAAGGTGTTAAATGGATGGGAAGGGGGAGGGGGGAGGCAGATGGTCCTAAGTCATTTCCTCCTTTACATCTACAGTTAAACCAGAACCTGAAAGAACTTTAGCAACCACCAACTCCAGTGCTTTCCAGTAATTTTGCTTTCCTTCACCTCTTTCAACAAAACCAGTATGTTATGAACCCCCATGGCAATTCAATATGTTATTCGTAACATTCTGCAATTGTTTACTCCTTAAGGCACCATTAAAGAACTGTGGGTCCAAACCCCTTGGACCATTGTCTGGAACTCGTTAACCACTAAACAGGAACTACTGATCTACTTTAACCCACCCATTTTGCTGCTGAGCAAACTGAGGCCAAGGGACCAAAAGTCTTGACTAAGTGACTTCCTCCCTCTGGATCGCAGTTTTTTCATACATAAATTAGAGATAATATCTGCACTAGCCTACTTTACAGTTGTTGTAAGAAAAAGTCACATGTAAATTAAAAAGCATTTTCTAAACATGAACTCTTTTTTATTTTTACTCCCAATAAGTTTAAAAATTGAGAATGGCTTTGTAAACCAAAATATTGTGCAGCAGAAACCAGACTTACCCTGAATCATCAGACGAAGCGACAGTATACAACAGCCAAAGCAAGCCCAGAGTGAGAATCATGGGGCATGAGTTGGTCAAGGCAAGACTTGGAGATTTATCTAATCTGCCTTCTGTCGCTTCTTTACGTCACTGGAAGTGCTAGCAGTACTCAAGCAATGACCTTACTGCCCCACGCAAATTCCATGCCCATTTCTACATCTGTGCCTTTGGGGCCCCACCAGCCTGGAACATTGCCCTTCATTCTCTCAGTTCATATTATTTTAACATTGAAAACAAGCTCATGTTCCACTTCCTTCATCTGGTTCTTTCCTCTGTTCTAAGCCCTGGTGATCCCTGCCTTCTCTGCATTCTTGTCACAATTAAATGTATAAACCATACAACTTAATACTGTATTTTTTTGCACAGGGAGCTTCATATTCCAAATACAAGTGTCCCTCCCATATTTGGGAATAAAGTTAAGACTAAATACCATCCTCTAAAACTAAAGCTGGTAAGAATTAAGAAAAGATGAGCAAAGCTAGACAGCGGCTGCAGAAGTAACCCAGTCTAAGAGAATTTATAAACATGATGCTGATAACACTAGGTTGGCTATTAAAAATATCACGGCCAAGAAGTTATGCAGGTGATCGAATATCCCCCCTGCCACGTAATCTTCCATCCAGTGACACTGACCTCCATGCTGTTTTTTGAACAAGATGCTCCGACTCTGGACTCTAGGCATTTTTCATCTGTCCCCCATGCCTGGAACATTCTCCCTCCTCACCTCCACCTACCGGCTTCCCTGGCTTCCTTCCGAGTTCCAACTAAAATCCCATCTTGTACAAGCTCTTCTGATCACTCTTAATTGTTGTGCCTTCCCTCTTTGAATTATCTCCTCTTTTTCCTGTACATAGCCTGTCTATACTTACTTATGTGCTTATTGTTTCCTCTATTAGATTGTAAGATCCTTGAAGGCAGGGACTGTCTTTTGCCTCTTTTTGTATCCTTAAGGCTTAACAATGTGCCTATGGTATAGTAGGCACTTCATAAATGCTTACTGACTATCAGCAACCAAGGGTATAACTTAAGGATTGTAATATAAGATTTACCTTATTATTGGAAATTGTATGTTTGTGTACAGGTGATTTTATGACAGGTTCATGCTAAGATCTAAGAATTCAATCATGCACAGTGCTAGGTAGGGGCCAGGAGACAAAAACAAGACAGTGTCAGCGCTCAAGGAACTGTCTCCTTCTACAGGGAGGATACAAGTTCACAAATATGTTAAGTACCAAGTATTTACAAAGCAATTTCCTGGGAGAGCCAGCCCTATCAACTAGAGGGATCAGGCATGGCCTCAGGGAGGAGGCATACCTGGGATGGGTTCCAAGAAAGCTCGGGATTCCATAAGGCAGAAGGGAGCTCCGAGGGGCACTTGTGCAATAGCTCAGGGTCAGGAAATGGAAGGCCACGTATAGAAAAAAGAGACCAGGACAAAGTGACAAAGGGATAAGTTTGCGTGAAAAACAGGAGCATGAAGAAAGGCTGGAAAGGTAGGTGAGACATCTCTCCAGTATTATCCAGGACAAATTTTAGCCAGCCAATACCAGTCCCTCTGGTGATTCTTCCCGCATTTAATACCACCTTTTTCAAAAAAAGCAAAAAGAGCAGAACAAATAATGGCCAGTAAAGGTGAACTTGCCTTAAAGATGAAAAAAAAAAGTCATTCTCTAAATTTGTTTTTCTTCCTCTTCTCTTCCATCTACTTTCAGAAGTAGCCAGATGGAGAAACTTGCCTGTGTGCTGTGGCCAGTGAATTAGCAAACTATTTATATAAAGTATATTCAATAATCCAGGTAAAAAAACAAAGCCTTGACTGGGCATTAAGGCCAAGCTGGGCTGTAGATCAGGGCATCATTACAGAATTAGTATGATGAATTCAAAGCAGTCTGGGCAATTTTATGAGCTTGTATTCAGCACTTCTATTTTACCTGTTTTCCCTAGTATTCAATTTATACTTCTCTCATGCACTTAGGATCAGTTCTGTATTAATTTTTTGTGAACAGGTTATAGCCACCTCCTAGATTGTAAGTTCCATGAGAGTAGGGCTCAAGTTTTGGTAAAAAATTTTATAAATTTCCCATAATGCCTAGCATAGGCCTCTGGATAAAAGAGGTGACTGATAAATGATTGTTGAACTGAATTCTCCATCCAGATAAAAAGCACAGAACTTAAGAGGTTAAGAAGAAAATGAAACCCAAGATAAGTAAAGCACAGAAAGAGAACATCTTACTGTCTTAAAAGAATTCAAGGCAACTAGTCCAGGGGAAAGATCATCTCAAAGTTATAGGAAGAACCTGCAAGTGTGAGGAAAAAGGGAGAATGGGAGAGATGCTACATACGAACAGAGTCCTTATTCTCTAAAAGATTCCACAAACCAAATGCCACAATTTTACATCAATACTCAGCAAATTCCTAGAAAAGGTTGTTAAAAGAATAAAGAAAAATGGCAAATCTACTATGAGCCAGCCAACTTCATTAAGAACAAGCTAGGCAACATAATATGCTTACGAAGCCCATATCCCAAACACATTGAAGAGATCAAGTCCTGTATGTACAAAATTATTTATAGCAGCTATTTGTGTAGTGGCAAAGAACTGGAAAGGAAAGAAATGCCCATCAACTGGAGAACAGCTAAACAAATTATGGCATACGAATATAATGGAATACTACAGTGTTGTAAGAGATTAAAAAAAGAAAAATTTCAGAGAAACCTTGGAAGACTTACATGCACTGATTCAATGGTCCCCAAGTAATGCTTCCCAAACTGAGAATTATATGGTTGTCACTTTGATTTCTATTTAGCAGCAACAAAGTGAGCAACGTGACCATATAAAAAAGTGGCAAACTTACCTTCTTTACAACAAATAATATCTCCTGCACATATTTATTATTTTTTCAAATATATATGGATAAAAGTGGTGATAAAATGAAAATTCCATTAAATTAAAAAAAAGGTGGGAGGCTACTAAGATGGACTAATTTAGGTATACATTATCAGACAAGGTTTTGTGATCAAGGTTTTTTTGCTTAATTCTTTTTATCACAATAGATGTTTCAATGGGGAAGACTGATAAAGACAAATATAAAAAAAAAAAACTGTTGTTTAAAGGAACAAGTTATGCCAGACTGATTCCATTTACTCTTCTGATGTAGACATTAGGAAAAAAGATCAAAGAAATAACAGGACATCTTTGACTTAAACCACTGGGTAAAGACTCTCATGAAAACCTATGGCTAAAATGGAGAGATGTGACCTGGATATGATTCAGGTAGATTCAGAACTGACTGAATAACGAGAACCAGCATTGATCTATGGGTTAATGTCAACCTGGCTGGAAGACTCAAGGCTCCATTGCTGGCCCTGTTCCGTCAACCATTTAGATGTAAAGTCTTGAGAACAGCGGGGTTTTGTTGTTGTTTTAAGGTAGCAGATGCAGAATTGTTGACTAGGTAGTAATTAATATTTTGTTTTTTAAATCTGGAAGTTTTGATGAACTGTGCATTGGCAAGCTTCTTCATGAAACAAAGGCTTATCTGATTAATTATTGTTAAAAAAAAATTAATAATCTTCTGGAAGAACACTAGTCTCCAAAGATTCAAGATTGTAGGTCCCAACCAATGGACAACAGAAAGGAGTATGGTGGGTATCAGTAGGTACTATTAAGGATAAAGCAGTGGAAAATGACACAAGTAGGGAGGATAGGAAAGGAGATGGGTGGGTCATCTACTATGAACAAAGGATAACCAAGAGACAGCTTCCCCACAAGTATGTCTGTAATATCAAGAGACCTAGCAGATGGTCACCAGCACAATGAGTGTTTTTCCTGTGGACAAGAATCACCCAAGATGAAAATTGTGGATGGGTTGTTTTAATTGACTTAATTAAAATGAGCAGATTATATCAGATCAAAACTGACAGCAAAATTCATTATCAGTCATTGGAAATTTGGGAGGTGACTAGTTAGGCGACCTACTGATGTACTCATAATTTTAAAATTCTTACCTGCAATAGGGATGAACCACCAGCATCTGACGTTGCAGCTTCATTCTGCATTGTATTCTGTTGTGTGATAGCATCTTCTCTTTTCCTCTCTTTTTGGCCTGCTTCATCATCATCATATTCATCTAGACACTTGAAAAAAAAAGATTTATTGCTATATATGCAAATGATAGATGATTCTGGTAGTAGGTTAAAATATTTACAAGCAATTATTAATTATATTTGCCCACTGTCAGCACGCTAACCTATTAGATGTGTTCCTGAAGAACTGAATCTAAAGTTAATTTTAATAAATTTCATAAACTGAGCCACATTTTAAATGCATCAAGAGTGGGTGCAGACAGTGAACCAGTTCCAAATCATGAACAATTCTATCAAACAAAAGCAAAATCAAAGATCCAGGTAACGTGAACCTTTCTGAGTCTCAGTCTCTTCATTTGTAAAATGAGAAGGTTGATCTAAATGACCCAAGTCCTATTCCAGCTCCAAATCATGAGATTCTTTTGTAATGCTAATAATCTAAATTGGCCTACTTGCAGTTCCTTCTACAGGACACACTATTTCCCCCCTAGGCACAAGACATCCATCCATCAGTCAAACCTGAAGAGCATTCCCTCCACAAAGGACCTCCCAGAACCCTCAGCTTTTTCCAAACTTAAGTCCTTATTATTAGTGCTCTCCTCCCTCCCTGAAGTTAAAATGATTTTGTTTACAACTTGTATTTTTTATATCACACCTCCTCACCCCTAGTGAAAGAATGTGAGTTCCCTAACGTTAGTTATGAGCATCACGGTCAGTGACACTGAAGTCGTTCTCCACAGGCCCCGATCTGAGTTCCGAGGTTAACATTTACCAGCTATGACAAAATGGACGTTTACAATGTACAAAATGGGGATAATATTTACACTGCCTATTTCAGGGCACAGTGTGGTACATAGTGAAGAGTACAGGAGAGGGTTCAGCCAATTACTGTGTGACCATAGCCAAGTCTCTTAAACTCTCACCTCATCTACAGAACAAAGGTCTTGGAATAAATGGCCCCAGAGTCCTTCATAGGACTAGAGGAAGAATGGAATTTTCCTTCTTTTCCTGTCACTGTTTCTCAGTGTTTCCTGAGTCCCTGGCTGCCTTGTTCCTCCAATCACCAATCCACATTTCATCTTTGCATCTTTACAGACCAACTACCTTTCACCTAGAAGCAGCAGCAACAGTATGAGTGTACATGTTTTCAAACAGCATCCAATCTCCCACAAGTTTTTCTGGTAAATCACAGCATTCAACAATTCAATCAAGGCCATCACATGTTGATCCATGTATGTATGTATGCATGCATGCATGTATGCATACAGATATTTACACATATATGTATGTGTGTATATATTGTATATACATGTGTGTATACATATCCACATTCACACATACACACACATACACACACACATAGAAAAGTAATGCTTCTCATCTGGTTTGGGTCACTTTTGTAGAATAGGTTTAGTATGTGCATGATCAAACAGGATGCAATTAAATGATCCATATACTCCATCATTTACACAGTACATAAAGGTTTGGTCATTTGCCTCATCTTCATCAGTGGATTCCAGAAACCCACTATCTATTCTGTGATGTCTCGGCCAGCATGGCAAGGCATGCAACAAATTAATGACCAAGGCTTTCTGGCAGAAGTAGAGGATCAGGACAACACCCCTTTACCATAATCTTGTGCTTGGTAAAGTAGAACGGAACATCACTCAACAGATTGTACTTCAGCTAGTACTGATGTATAGAATGCTGTTTGGAGTCATTACTTGCAAGTTTAGCTTGAATTAGAACGCTTGGGGGGACCATTAACTTAATTCCTGCTAGAGTTTTTAAATATGTTTAAAGAATAGGGTTGGCACCAATGCAACAATACGGAAGACTAAGAGATGAGGTCACACTTATCTGTGTTCCTATGGAAATTGTTTGTTTTTTAAAATTCACCTTTTACCTCCAAACACATTCCATAGGCCTTACTCAGAGTTAAAATCAGACCACAGGGACCAGAGTTTTACTCCAGGACCTTATAATCCAATGGGCTGACTCCAGAAATATGCACTTTCTGTCTCTCTAGAGACTACATTCACACCAGATTCCATCTCCTAGCTCCAGGCTACTGCCCCAACAGCATTCTCCCTGAGCAATACCACTCTACTATCCTATCCCCTATTCTTATATTATGTTCATTTCTATTCAGCTGGCACATTTTTTTTTTCTAATGAAAATCCGTTAAAACAAGGCCTATCCAAAGAGGCTTGGGCAGAACTATAAATAAAAAGTTTCCTTCACTCCTGACTTTGATTTTCTTTAATAATTAAAAGGTCAGAAGAAAAGTGGAATCTAACTTTGTCATATAACCAAGAGATCAAGAAAAGGACAAAAAAATGATCCTCCTCCTTCCTCTTCTCCCCAATGATCTATCTAGCCATTTCTTGGTGCCACATCCATTTTCCAGGCCTCAGTTTCTTCAGCTGTAAAAGCAGGCTGAACCAAATGATCTCAGCTCTAACATTAAAAGATTTCTGAATCAGAGTTAAAGATCCTACGCCATTTCTGTGGGGAAGGGAAGAGATGGCACGAAAAAGAAAAACTGAAGAAAAAAATATTGTTTTGGATGGGGTAAAAGCCTGAGACTTAAACAGAAGAGGCAAATGATGAAAAATAAACTAAAGATTCCTTTCCAGAAATGAAGATATTTGAAAGAAGAGTAGTAATGGTCCTAAGCAGAAGCTGTGCCCTTCTGCATATAAGGAAAGATGTTTGCTATTCTGCCTGACCAACATTCCTTACTTTTAACTTCGTGGACCAGAAACATGGGAAAGAGGTACCAACCAACTCGAGTCCAAACTGTTCTCAATCCAATTAGGAAGCAAGTCAGCTTTTTATATAGTATACAATCACAAAATGTGCAAGTCCTCCCTCTATTAAATCAAATAATACACTCATGACGTACTTTTTCTGCCTCAGAGGCATGGCCTGTATCATGCATCTCAGATGAAGTTTGAAAGGATGATAAATAATATTTTGGAAAGTAAAATAACTGAACCAAAAAGGAAGTTAAAAAAGAAACCACTGGTTTTCAATGCTAACAAAATAAAGATTCCCACTAATGGAACTACTGACCTCCAAAGTTTCTCAAATAAAGGAATACATGCTGTTCAAAAATATGACAACATCATGATTTAGACTCCTGTTACAAAATGTGACCAAGTTAAAGAAAAGTAACCTAATAAAATGAAAACTATGTATAACCTCAAACAAATGCCAATTTAATCAAGACAAAAGATTTGTTCAGAAGAACCCAAATGATGAAACAAAGTAAGATAAAATAAAACAAGAGATTGCATCAATCAAATAACAAACAATATTTATGAAGCTCCTACCAGGCACCAGGAACAATACGAGGTGCTGGGGAAACAAGCATAAATGAAAAATAAAACAATGATCTCTACTCATAAGTAGTACACAGTCAAATGGGGTAAATATAAGTGTATCATAAATAAAAGTGAGTAAGTACAAACATATAAAAGTAGTTAAACATAACAAAGGTGCCAAAGAATTTCTAACTCTTGTTAGAGTTCAACGATACACCAGGTGAATCAGAAATGGTAAAAGCAAAGACGAGGATTGTTTAATCATTCAATGTACAAGTATTTACGAAGCATATACTATGTCCCCAGGGCAGCAAGGTGGCGCTGTGGAAAGAACACCAGGTCTAGAGTTAGGAAGACTCATCTTCTGGAGTTCAAATCTGGCCTCAGACATTTACTAGCTGTGTGACCCTCGGCAAATCACTTACCCCTGTTTGCCTCAATTTCCTCATCTTCAAAACTAGCTGGAGAAAGAAATGTCAAACCACTCCAGTATCTTTGCCAAGAAAACCCCAAATGGGGTCACAAAGTTGGAGACAACTGACGAACAACAATAAAGTATGCACCCATCACTATGCTAGGCACTGTGGGAGAGAAAACTATAATTATGGTCTTTGTCTTCGGGTAACTTACTGTCTAACAAGAAGGCAACTCATAACCTCACCCTCTGAGGCCACCTTGGTGAGGTGCCTCATTCTGAACTTAGCTAGGTCAGTCCTTGGACATGCATCCCATTCTCAGTGTCCATTAAAAATGAATATTTTGCAGATTGCTTAGTTGTTGTCCTCTAACTGATATGAAGCCTTAGATCATTTCAATCAGTTATACTGACGCTCTGCATTCCATTCACTTCTTTAGCCTGGTTGGGTATGCTTCATAAAATACTTTAAATGATGGAGACATAACAGACATAATTTAATCCCCTCCTAATAGACACTAGCCTGCTAATCTCACACAACTGAGGAAGTGATACCGACCCCAAACAATTCATGTTGTTCTAATTTTGCTCCTAGATGTGTGGCAATTCAGCAATCTCAAATATTTTCCATCTAAACAACTTTTATCCAAATATGGAAGATATTCTGCGTGACATTTGCACATCTGATCTCAATATAAGGAATCCACAGAAATTCCTTAGGTTTTCTAGCTTCTCAAACATTTGAGGCTGAAGAATGAACATGTTCCTATAGCCCTCCACCCCACCACGGAAAACAGGGCAGGCTTTTTTTACATGAATCACAGTGATGGGGAATGCTCAGAACACCATCAGACTCACCACTACTAATTATAATGAACGGGGACAGGAAAAAAAAAAAAGGTCAGAGTAGATGAAAACCACTAGAAGGGGAGAAAACTGCTTGGAGAGGGCTTAGAATTATTAATGACCCACTTTAATTTGGCAGAGTCTTCTGAAACTTTACCAGAAAGAGGATATAGTCTATAAGTAAAAATGATGTGGCATGTGGTGAAACAATTACCAACTGTGATTCTGAGTTAGTGAATAAATGGTCACCATGCCTCTAGAACTGGAGATTAGAGTCACCATGGAGAGCACTGAAGATATCCTGAAGTGGAGACCTTGGTAGGATTCATTTCATTTTCCTCCCTAAACCATAAGTATTTCCTCTTCTCTTTCCAACTTTAAAAATAAAATTACTCTTAAAATTTTTTTTATCTCAATTTTTTTTTGGGGGGTGGAGAAGGAGAAGGAGTAGTGCAGTGTCT